TGACCTTGGCCCTAGATGAAGAATACAAACTGTTCCCTCAGCCAGTCCCGTCTCCAGCCTGTTACTCCAGAGGTTTCTGGCAGAAGTCCCCCAAGGTCTGGGCAGAAAAAAAATCTAGTAGAACTCACTGGTCATTGAGCCCCAGTTCTAGTACAATTAAACACTGGGGCTACCTCAGCCCAAATCAGGCAATATCCAATGCCCAGAGAAGCCAGAACAAGGGTCACCCTCACATTAACTGGCTCCAGGAAGCAAAATTCTGATTCCTTGCCAATCAGCATGGAACACTCCCCTCTTTCTGGTCAAGAAACCTCATTCTAATGGCTACTGGCCTGTGCAGTATTTAAGGGAGGTTACTAAGTGCGTGGAAGACATCCACTCACCCCCCCGCCCCAGTTCCAAACCACTACACCCTGCTGAGCAGCCTCCCTCCTGAGCACACAACATATACTGTTCTTGACCTGAAGGATGCCTCTTTCAGCCTGTCTCTGGCACCCAAAAGCCAGCCTCTAATTGCCTTTAAATGGCAAGACTTGGAAAGAGGCTTCAATAGACAACTGACTTGGACACACCTGCCTCAAGGATTCAAAAACTCATCCACCACCTTTGACGAGGCACTACATGAGGGCTTGGGTAAATATCATCAGGCCAACTCACAAATAACTGTGCTCCAGTACATAGATGACATCCTGATTGTAGCCCCTGACTTGGAGATATGCCAAGAGTCCACACGGGACCTGCAATAGGAGCTGAGTGAACTTAGTGTTTGCTAAGAAGGCCCATCTTTGTCAACTTGAGGTAACATATCTGTGATACATACTCAAGGGAAGCCAACAGTTGCTGTTGGACTCCAGAAAGCAAACTATTTTTAGCATCCAGTTCCATCAACCTGAAGGCACGTTTGGGAATTTCTGAGATCTGCAGGTTTTGTAGACTCTGGCTGCCAGGATTCACTGAGATAGCCAAACCATTATATGAGGCCACCAGGGTCCAGGAAGATAAAATAGACTTCTTAGATAGACTTGACTTTTAAGACTTTAAGAAAAGCCTTATTGGAGGTGCCAACCCTGACAGTCCCAGACATCCAGAGAACTTTCCACCTGTATATGAATAAGAAAGAGGTGATAACAAAGAGAATATTCACCCAAACTTTGAGACCATGAAAAAGACTTATGGTTATTTGTCTAAGAAGCTGGACCTGGTGGCCCAAGGATGTCAAGCTTGCCTCTGTATCATAACTGCCACTGCCCTGCAAGTCAAGGATGCTGGCAGAATAACCACGGGGCAAGAACTTGTTATCATTACCCCCCATTCTATTGAGGGGACCCTCAAGAATCTATCCAGCTGGTGGCTGTCCAATGCAAGACTGGTACACTTTCAGGCTCTACATTTGAATCTTCCTCCCATAAAATATAACCCATCATCTGCCCTAAATCCAGCCTGCTACCTGATCCATCCTCAGATATGTGGCATGATTGCTCTATAGTTCTGGGGCATGTCCGGAACACCAGACTGGACTTGACTGACATACCCTGGCCAGATATGGAATGTATTTACTTCATAGATGGAAGCAGCTTCATCCAGAATGGAATCAGGTATACAGGGGTGGCAGTAGTGGACTTGGACTCTGTTATTTGGGCAACTGCTTTGTCATCAGGAACTTCAACCCAGAAAGCTGAACTAAAGGCTCTAACCCAGGCTTTAAAACTGAGGAAAGGGGCCATAGCTGACATCTGCACTGACAACAGGTATGCCTTTGCTCATGTACATGAGTCCATATACCAAGAGAGGGGATTATTGACTGCTGAAGAAAAAAAAACTATCAAAAAACCCTTATTTTATTAGAGGCATTATGGCTTCCTCTCAAAATGGCCATAATTCATTGCTCCAGGCAGCAAAGGTGACATCAGAACTAGTCTGAGGGTACAGGCTAGCTGATAAAGCCACAAGGGAGGCTTCCCAAGCTTCCCACTGCTAACATCTTGATAGCTCTGCTGCCCCCTGCACTCCCAGCCATCCCTGAATATATTGCTAAGGACAAATGAGATCAGATGAAATACCAACGAGTTTACAGAAGAGATGCAACAACCTTGTCATCAAATTCATTGCAGCTGACAGAAAGGCTGATTAGACTGTCTTTAAGACATGGGGACTAAGACTTTACATCTCTGGCTATGATCCAAGACTCCTACTTACTGTCCAACTGCTTCAATGTAGCCTTACGAGATCCACGGTCCCCTTAGGACCCAACAAGGTATTAGTGAGGCTGAACCAGCCACCCCCAACCTCTGTCTCATCACTCCCTCATCAGGACCCACCACCCTTTCACCCCAGTGAGGTCTCACTTCTAACCAACCACTTCCTAAAACTGTTCCACCTCCTACACTTCATCACATGCGTCAGGACCCCTGCAATTATTAGAAATCACTTTCTAGGCTCTTGACTCCTCCTGCCTCGACTTAACACAGGACTGTTGGTTATGCTTAAATGCTCAGCCACCCTACTATGAAGAAATATCCCTGGAGAGTATTCACACACTACAGATGGCACTCAATATAGATGACAGCAACCAGACAGGGATAAGCTGACCCTACTATCAACAATAGGACAGGGACTCTATGTTCCCTTGTTCTCTAGTGGTAATATGAACCACGGACATGGACATCAACAATGACCTCTGCCACTGCATAGCCATGGAGCAAGACATGGCCCTTACTGGCAGCATAGGCAAGGGCCGTTGCTGCTTGTATTACAAATGCTAATTATGTTCCCCCAAAAACTGCTTACACATATCTGCACATAGCTTCTGCGAACCTGCCCCCAAATGGTTCTGATTGATAAATAAAGATGTTAACAGTCAATAGCTGGGGAAGACAGACAGAGGTGGGATTTTAGGATTCCTGGGCTTGGGACTGGAAGAAGAGGGAGAGGGAAGAGATCTGCCATGCTGGGAGGGTGTGGAGGAGAGGAGAGACGCCATGCCTGAGAAGAGTTCAGGACAGAGAGGCACAGCCACCATGTGAAGGAGCCCAGAGAGCACAGCCCAGAGGTATGCCCAACCTGGTCTAGAGCAGCCAAGATAGAACATAGAATTTAGTAAGTAGCAACTCAGGATTAACCGCATGGAGGTTAGGCAGTGGCCCAGCTATTGTGCTGCTTAAGGCATAGTAAAATATAAAGGCCGTGTGTGTGTATGTGTCTTTCTTTCGGGAACCTAAACCATTGAGAGAAGTAGCAGACACACCACTGGGATTTATTTGAAAGAGAGCAAGGAGGGGTATATGGGAGAATTTTTAGGATGGAAAAAGAAGGTGGAAATGATGCTATTATAATCTAAAAACAAATAATTAAAAACAAAAATGAAACTAAGATACATTGTTCTTATTCCAAGAGAGGAGAACCAGAACACAATTACAGTCAGATCAAAGCAGAACCAAAGGTCAACAGTAAAAACAGTGTTCAATGTTGTGGACTCTCTCGTGATTTTCTGAGCTCCAAAGGGCTTGAGAAGCTCTGTTTCTCTGTCTCTGCTCTCTGTAGCACATGAAGCATACCTGATAGGCTCAAGCCAGCTCCACTCTCTACCTGCTGCTGAACTTGGTCATTCCATGGTGCTGGTATCTCCATTATCTGAGGTCATCTCTGGAACTGAGCCTTCACCTTCACAAGTGGCCTCTCACAATGCCAAACTTCAGCCACTACACATGACCTCTTCATTCTTTCAAAACCAGTCCCACATGGGAGACTCTTAGACATCACCAAGTTCTGCTACCAGTTTGAGATCCAACCTTGACCCCTATGGACCACAGCATCTATGTGCTGAGCCCAGACAAATGCTCCTCCATAGATTTCACCTCAGTTATACTGTCTCTTAATCACAGCTAATTTTTCAGTTCCAGCTAATCAGCATCAACTGTCCCAGTATAGCAAAGATTCCACTGTAGCGATGCTGAGCTTTTGTTAACCACAGCTGACTCTTAAGCCCCAGCAGGCTAAAGACCACATATTCTTAACACAAATATAGCATGCACACACACACACACACACACACACACACACTCATCCCACTCATCTTGTAAAATGTATGAGATACTCACACACTTCCTTCGAAACTTCACAAGCCAGGCCTTCATCATTTGCATTTACCTCACAGGTCTTGTTTTCCAAGCTACACAGAACATTCCATTAAGGACTGAACATTAAGCATCAGTGATTTTTCCAGTGTTTTAAACACAGACACAAACCTTCTCCAAACGACATGGTTAGGTCTGTCAGCACGACACTCCACTCCTACTACCAGTTTCTGTCCTAGTTAGGTTTCTGTTACTGTGATAAAAGCCATTTTGGGGAGGAAAAGGTTTACTTCACCTTACAGGTATAGCCCCTATGACTGAGGTAAATCAGTGGAGAGGCTCAAGGAAGAAACAAAACAGGAACTGAGAATGCTATTTACTAGCTTGCTCCCCATCATTTGCTCAGTATTCTCTTTTTATTTAATTTTAAAATTATTGTTTTTACATCCCAACCATAGTTTCCCTTTCTCCTCCCATCCCAGACCCTCTCCCCCACTTTTCCTCTGCCCGCACCCCGTCCACTCCTCCATCACGTCTCTTCAGAAAAGGGCAGGGCTCTCAAAGCTATCAACCAACCAGAGCATATCAAGTTGCAGTAAGACGAGGCACCTCTCCTCATAGTAACAGCTCTTTGTCTTATACCACCAGGATCACCTGCCCCTGCCCAGGGCTGGCACCACCCGTAGTGGTCTGGGCCCTCCCACATCAGTCATCAATCAAGCAAATGTCCAACAAACTTGCCCATAGGCAACCTGATGGAAAGAAATTCTCATTTAAGGTTTTCTCTTCCCAGTTAACTCTCTCTTGTGTCAAGTTGTCCAAAAGATTAACTAGCACAGTGCCGAAAGGAAGATTGTACCTCATGAGCCACATAGTACCATGTATCCCACATGGGCATATAAGAGCTAAAGGAAGGCAGATGGCTACCTTCAGACAGTCTGTTCAGCTGATGCTTCTGCAGGCCCTGTGTAAAGGCTGTTGATAGTTTCTCCGCTTGCCTCATTTCTTCTTCTGAAACAGCTTCCTTGAAGATAAACATAAATCATGAAAGCAGATGAGGAGCCCATAAATCAAAACACACACACACACCTGTTTTCCAGGGACATTTGGTAATTCCTGAAAGATATTTTGTTGTTATCGTTTGTTGAAAGAGGCTGAGGAAGCTGAGGAACCCCTTATATAGTAGAATACTACTGTAACCAAGTATTATTTGGCCCACAAATGTCAATACTAGCAAAGGTGAAGATGACAGACACCCAACCAAAGAGCAAGACTAGTAATTTGTATTAGAAACACTACGAGCCCATTAAGTTTTGTATCCTATCCCTAAGGTGAGCTTCTCATAGCATAGTGTTATGGGGTCCTCTTGGATCCAATCCAACTCAAAACATCAAGTCAGTGCAGAAAAGAAAGGTTCATTGTAACCAAGCCACTACTGCTTCATCAGGGATGCAGCACAGACTCGGGAGCTAAACTGCAACCCTGAGACAGAATGCTATAGACCTTTTAAGCATAAAAACCACACACCGTAATCATCTGTGCCAAGTACATTTTCCAGCAATCATGATTCAGGGATAGGGGTCTTTCTTAGGAGCATTTCTTTGTGGTACACATATTTTGTTCTTACTGGTTGGTTTGATCAACTGTGGTAGGGTGGCTTACCCAGCATTCATGTTTCAACTTGTCAACCAAGATGCCACTTATCCAGGGAGGTCTTGGGAACTTAAACTTGGTTTGATTCCCTATTCAAATGGAATTTTATTCAAAATGACTTCAGTTTGGTTCCTTCTTACAATAGTATCTGGTGACTTCTATCTGAACTTTAACCTTTTTTGTTTTTGGATGCTGAAGGTTATAAAGTTATTAAGGTTATAAAGCAGATGTTGGTCTTCTAATTTTACTTGCTCGGTGTATATGACTCCTAGTCTAGTTGATAGCTTTGGGGTGATTATGGACATAGGTCTGAAATAGAAATCCCTGTTTTGGTCAGTTGCAGAGACTGAAGGGAGGCAGTGTCTAAGTCCCCAAATTTTAAAACCCATAGTGTCCTAGAAATCTCTTCTAACCAACTACTCCATCTTTGATACAAAAATACATTTCCAATAAGGATTGGTAAAAACACTTACAGCATCTAACTTATCAAGACGTAATGACCTCTTCCAAAGCACGCCTCTCCCTCCAAACCTTGCCGTGCTACCTATCCTCAGAACGCAAAGATTACAGTAGAGATACTTTCAAAGTAGTCAGCAATCATTGGTGTCTCCAAGAAAATAGAAAGTTATGGGAAACTGACAGGATTAATCTCAGATGCGTCCTTCCTTTTTGAAACAGGGTCTCCTTACAGCCTCAAAGTTTCTTTGTAACACAGTTTGGTTTCTAGTTTTCTGTTCTCCTGTTTCAGTCTCATGAGTGCAGAGATTAGAGATTTGTACCACTCTAGTTAGCTCTCAGACCTGGATCTTAAGAGCAACAACTTCTTGTCTTTGGAATTTGAATGCCTAGAAGAATGGTAGGCATACGGTAGGGGTCCAGGAATTTTATTTTATTTTTCTTTACAGTGAATGGACAGAACATGATGAGAAAAAAAAAAGTATCTAAAGTTGTCGTAGATTTACTGCAAATATGGGCAGAGGCTAGACTGATACACTGAAGATGTGCTGAAACCCACTTATTGGTTCTTCTAGGAACCAATAATTATTATAAAGGTAGTACTTACTGTGTTTATAGACAATGACGTATTTGATGATGATGGCAATGGCAACTGTTATTATTACTGCACCGGATCCTGCCATGATGGTCACAACTGTGCTGTTTTCATCAGGAGGGTCTTCAGGGGCTGTGGAAAGAAAAGAATAGCATCAGTTGAGATGTGCTTCCTACTGTTGGGTTTCCATCCTACGCCTCTTCAGTATGTGCCTGTGGAGAACCTCTTACTTTGCCAGATCATCTCATGGACACACAATTGTTAGCATTCCCTTGCACTACTCTATATCCAAATGATATAGATATTGCACGTGAAAAAAACGCAACTTGAATTTTTGTACCTACCGAGCTAACTTGGCATGAGGAAAGATTCTACAGAGAAACCGTAAGAGTTATCTTGTCTTCATAGCTCATATCTGTGGTTGATATGGCCAGGCCTTAGCAATGTCATAATCTAGATATACCTACTTCTTTCTCCTCTAGCTTTACTGTGCTTCCTCCGGTTCTCTTGCTTGTTCTCATATTCTCCACTTTCACTCGTACTCCACACAGCGGCTGCCTTAAGGTCCGGGAGGTGCTCCACATTCTCATCAAGATAGATTTATTTATTTATTTATTTATTTATTTATTTATTTATTTATTTATTTGTTTATTTATTTATTTATTTTCCTTCCAGGCTTAACTTTTGGGAGGACTAGGAGAACTAAGAATGGCTAAAATTGGTATTAAGGGATCATCCTGGAAATCACTTGTGTGGGCTAGCTTCTGATGAACTTCTAGACTCACAAGAAGCAAAAGAAGGATACAAAGACTGCTGAGGCAGAAGGAGAAAGAGGTTGGTGTGTGTTGCTGCCATCCAGTTCTCCTCATTGGGGCAACGGCTATGTCATTTGTTTTTCAGTCTTTCTGAGGAATAGCAACATCTGAAGGAAGGACAGGGATACCATTTGACAGGAATATTAGCAACGCCGCCTCTCTGGCTTCTTGAATGGCTTACCAGAAATTATTAAACACTAACTGGTTTTCAGCTTTCCCCATTGCCAAGCCTCCTGCCTGAAGTTTGGCTTTTAGCTTATTTGAGCATTTGGCACCACGGATTCCCCTCTCCTTGGCTTCTCCGAGTCACATTCCTGTCTCTGCTTGTTACACTTGTCTTTCTTTTCAGACACTTTTTCCCTTCTCAGCTTCTAAATGTCACTGTTTCTGTAGTGTGTGTGGGGGCATGGTCTGCCTTTGTCATCTAAGCCACACCCAAAGCTTGAAATGTCATCTCACTTCTGAATTTGAACATTCCATTTCTTATCTCCTTTCTGAACCCCAGATGTATTATAGATCCAGCTGCTGACAAAATGGTGGGAAGCCAGCTGAGAGAAACTAAAGTGACTCTTTTATTCCTTCCTTCCTTCCTTCCTTCCTTCCTTTCTTTCTTTCTTTCTTTCTTTCTTTCTTTCTTTCTTTCTTTCTGTCTTAACATTTATTTATTTTTATTTTATGTGTATGGATGTTTTGTCTGCATGTATGTCTAGGCACAACAGGCCAAGAGAAGGCATCAGATTCCTCTGGGACTGGAGTTCCAAGTGATTGTTAGCCACCGCATGGGTACTGGAAATCAAAGACAGTTTCTCTGGAAGAGTAGCCCGTGCTCCTAACTGCTGAGCCAGTTCTTCCAGCTTCACTGTGTTCTTAAAGCACATCATCTACTGGCCACACGTACCACTGAAGTGAGTGGCACCTTAGCCACCTCAACAAGACTGACACAGTCTCCTTGCTCTCACCTCCCAGTGGGCTTCCATAGACTTCCTACAGTCTATCAGAAGACTCCCAGTTCCTAGCCCCACCCCCATTGCCTGCTTGAGTTTGGATCTTTCTTATCTGCTTCCTACTAGCCTCCAAACTCATCTCACAAAAGGTCACTTGTCTTAACTCTTACTCCAAATGAGGGTGGCTGTCCCATTAGTGAGACTGAAAGCTTTTCTTTAAAGCTCTCCGTTTACAAAAACAGATTTCATAAGTAGGCAAAGCAACCATGTCTGGGCCAAGCATAACCTGCCACCTGTTTTAAAAAATAAAGTTTGAAATGGGATGCAGTAGCTCATTACTCTAACCCCAGAACTAAGGAGGCTGAAGTTGGAAGATTATGAGTTCAAGACCATCCTGGGCTACATAATGAGACACCATGCCTGCACATATTTGTGTGCAGGGCAACAGAGTCTGTACAACCCGATAAATTACTATCTGAATTTTTTTTCTAAAAAAGTTCCAGCAACTTTTGCCCTAAATTTCACATATATCCACCATTCCAAAACAGCATCCAAAGTAAACTATATTCAAGCTATGAATACAGATTAAACTCAACATAAGCTCCACCTTTAAAAAATAATATAGAATTCATTAGTGATGGAACTATAAGCTAAGAATAAACCCTGAATTAATAAACTGTTTTCACTTTATGAGCCAAGATATTTTAAAATAAAATATTAGAATGCATAAAACAATATTGAGATTTCAGTTTTAAGTGTTGAAATTATGCCAAAACAATTTGATTTATGTTGGGGACCAGTGTTTTCAGGAAATTTTCTTATTACTTACGAAGGAAAATAGTTAAAAGAATCAATCTCAGATCTGGAAGAGAAAATCACACACTAGAATGAACCTGTAAGCCACCTTAACTAGCTCAACTATAAAGAGGCAGGCATAAACTTGCCACAGTGCATATTTAATGCATGAGTACCAAAGACTGTCATACAGTATTTCTTCTGTACTGTGCAGACATAAATGTCCTTAGAATGGGGCTGAGATGGGAGGAGAGTCCCAAGTATACCTCTGTATACTCAGCCATTCAAATTGGATGTGCATTTCAAGTATCTGAGTCCTGTGATAACCTGCCATGGATTTAAGATACATATTATTTGTATAAAAATAATTTGTCCTTTTTTCCACCTTTAGAGAAAGGGAATTTCACAAGCTTACTACCTATACAGTAAATTATTGACTGGAAATGACCTGTTTTTCACCCTGGGCATTGTCCTCAAAGACTTTTTTTTTGTTGTTGTTTTGTTTTTGTTTTTTTGAGACAGGGTTTCTCTGTGTAGCCCTGGCTGTCCTGGAACTCACTCTGTAGACCAGGCTGGCCTCGAACTCAGAAATCCGCCTGCCTCTGCCTCCCAAGTGCTGGGATTAAAGGTGTGCGCCACCACCGCCCGGCAAAGACTTTTATCATATAACTTTACTGTTTTTTTTCTTCTGGATGAACCAGTAGGTGGGATCAAACCTAGGGCTTTGAGTATTTTGAGCCAGTGCTCTGCTTACACCCAGATTAAATCAGTAGTTTTAAAAACAAAAATCCACTCCTGCCGGGCAGTGGTGGTGCACTTTCCAGTGTAATGCTGCTTACGTTTTTTTTCCCAGGTGAAGTTCTCCGACACATGAGCGTCTCCATATTCAATGAAACACTGAATGGTGTGGTTGCTTGTCGTATTGAAATCTAGTTGGCTACTAATGGTATACAGTTCAGATTCAGGATCCTGGGAAATTGTTGTATTGATGCCATTTAATTTTCTTCCGTTTTCCAACCAAGAGAGGCGAGGCTCTGGGAAACCCCCAGAAGTAAAGCAGGTAATCCTTTTAGTGTCGGCAGATGGATTTCCAGATTCAGTTATGTTAGGGGTAGGGAAGTCAGCTAGAGATAGAACAAGCATACAGTTATACACGGGTACAGGTCTGTGTGCTTAGGTATATGTTAAATAAATTATCAAGGTTCAGTGAGACTGACAAAATAACGTTGGTTTACAAGACTACATACATCATTATCAGTAAAATAGCTCCTCTGAACCGACCACGTCAGTCGCCTCCCACCTCTAATGAGCACAGAGAAAGGAATGAGTGTGTGTGGGAACTGTTGATGTGATGTAAGAGGAGAAAAGAAGACTGATAATATTTATTGAGTCCCTCCTAGTTATTTCTGGAAATCATTCTTTTTATGACAAACTTAGGACATGAGACTGGGATTATTTAAAAGGGTTGTGGACCAGGTAAAGTGTGGTAGTACAGGTTGAGGTAGAAAGGTTGCTTGAACTCTACAAGTTTGGGACCAGCCTGGAATATATAGTGAAAGCCTTGTCTGCTGGAAAACAAAATACCAGACAGAGTGGTGCAGGTCTTTAGTTCCAGCACTGAGGAGGCAGAGGCAGATGGATTTCTATGACTAAGGCCAGCCTGATTTACATAGCTAGTTTCAGGACAGCCAAGGCCTTATAGAGAGACCCTGTGTCCAAAAAAAAAAAAAAAATCTCTATCAATCGAACAATCGATAGATAGAAAGAATAGCACAAATGTGAAATGATCGATGTCTATAATCTTATCTTATAAATAAATAGATTTGCAAACTCACCGCCCTGTGACAGAACTGATACCTGCAGGCACATTTCTCAACACCAGAACCCATCCTCGCCATCCCCTTCTATCTCATCCCTCCCTTTCCTCCTGATACTGGAAGAATACCGGTGGCTTCTTTTATCTGTCTATTTAGTAAGGAACATGCATGAAGCCACCCTTCAACCTGAGAACCAGAACACAGACTGGAGCCCACACGTGTCCACTCGCATGGTCATGCCTCTGCTGGACCCCCAGTTCTCGCCCTAAGTCCATGTTCAATACTCCCTTGCTTCTTAAAAAGTAAGGTTAGCTAGCATGTGGAGCACACCTGCAGGCAGGTATACTTTGGAGGCTGGGATAGGAGGAGTGTGGGGTCAGCCTGGGCTATATAATGAGTTCAAAGCCACCTTGGGTTACAGAGTAAGACTGTTCTGTTCTTCATTTTCAAATATATATATATATATATATATATATATATATATATATATATATGTTATTAAATCTGCAATCACAGCTATTACATATTACATATTATTAATTCCTTGCTACTCTGACATTTTGAAAGGACAAGGAGGCCTCCTGGAGTTGATTTCATTTGTATATTTGACCTCCAGTAAGATACTAAAGTAGACTTGAGAATCAAGTGAGGAAACCCCCTACCACGTGCTTCTCACGCTTAGACTTTAGGAATTTAAGTCCTCCCCTCACCCGTGGCAATCAATGCCTCCACTTCAGTCCACATACTGAGCTTTGGTCTTGGAAGTCTGAGTACTACAGAGCTCCTATGAGCAGAGGTCAGAGGCTATCAAGAACAGTTCTTAAACTGAAATTTGCCTTGTGACTGTGGGCCACTTGTTTTTTAGTCTTAGTTTGTAGATGGATTAATAATACGTGCATTCCAGGAATGAAGGAATGAATTGACCCCATTACTAAAAATCACTTAGCATGGAGCCTGACACACAGGATATATTTAGGTAGATGCTGTCATTTAAATCAAGCTTTCAAGGAAAGCTTCTAAAACTGCCCAGGGATACTGGGAGAGATGAGGGAAGAATACAGTGTATAGTTACCAGGAAAGGGAAAACCCTGAATTTGGTTGCAGAGGAAGTCATTGGAAACAACAACAGCAACAAAAATTCCTTAGTGGTGAATCTCTCTGAGTTTGAGGCTAGACTCCAAGCCAGCCAAGGCTACACAGTGGGACACTATCTCAAAAACTAAAACAAAGGGCAAGTTAAAAAATGAGCCTTGTTCCTAAATAAAGTCTGGTGTGGTCCCAAGCTATTTATAGTTGGCATTGTTATTTTCTACTTGCTACCTTATTACCACTCAATCGAATTACTACTCTGATAGTCAACATAAAAATGTTACTTTTGTTTCTTCTAACCAGACATCATGGGCTTTTTAACCTGGAGTAAGAAATCTGCCGACCTAATGTTCTCAGTCACAGCTCACGTTTGTTCCATTTTTGTGTTCCTTTTCTGAGAAATGGTTAGCTCAGTAAGTGCCACCTTTTCCTGTCTGACTGAGCTAACGGCTGCTTCAGCTTTCTTCCCTAGCCCTTCTGCAAGATAACGTGTTTAGGGGAACTACTTTGAAGATATTGCAAGACTGTGAATCACCTAAAGATTAGCCCTTTGGGACTGAAGAGATGGCTCAGCCATTAAGTACATACACACTCTTAACTCACTCCTGCAGAACACACAGAGTCCATCACCAGCACTCATATTGGGTGACTCACAACTGCCTATAACTCCAGCTCCTGGGAAATCCAGTACCTTCTTCTGGCTGCTGTGAGCTTTTGCGCACACACATCTACATAGTTAAAAACAAAATAAATCTTAAAAAAAAAAAAAGACTGGCTCTTTATATCTCAGATGACTCAGTTAGCCCAAGTTTTGGTCACCTTCAGTGGAGAAGGGTAAGTATGTGTTATGAACAAAAGCAGGAATGCAAATTATTCAGAAAAGTAAAAAAAAAATATGTGACCTAATTAGCTTGTTACCCAGAATAGGAAAGGCACTTCTCAAGTGCAGTTCACAGTACGTCCACTTCATATCACCGTTATGCTCCTGAGAGTCAGAAGGCCGTTATAGTGCCTGGGATGATTACTATGGCCTTGAATGATCCCAACTACAAGAAAAGTGCACTGATAGAGGTTTCCACTTTGACCAATCAGGTTTTCTGTAGGACTGGAGACTCAACCCTCAGATATGAAGTGAGACGATCCTTCTCTGCTAAAAGTGTCACCTTCGTCAATAGACATGTTCCTTTAAGGACATTGTGAATCAGTAAACCAGAGACTCCTACCAACCTTTGATGGACAGCAACACTTCAGTGATCTGTTTAACTTCATAAGCTCCTCTTTCATTCTTTTGAACGACACAGGTGTATGTGCCCCTGTCTGAAAGGCCCAGGCCCAGGATGATAAGAGAGTAGTTAGTGTTGTCAAGTAAAGTCCGGTTCTTATACTCGGACCACGCTTCTTGTACCCCAGAGATGATAGACTGCACCATTTTGCCTTGTTTTTGCCAGTAGATTCGGAGTATGGGCAGCTCTTCATGAGAAAAGTTGTAACGACAGGGCAGCGATACCTTTTCTTTCACTGACTTGGACACTTGGTCAACACCTAAGAAAAGGCAAGTAAGAAAAGATTTTGTCTTTAATGAACAACCAAACTCATATGTGCTATAAGGTGACTAACCATGATGAATGATTTTTTTAATGTGTGGGAGCCGACACATTTTTTTTATGGTCGTTTTTAGAGATAGGGTCTCTCTATGTAGCTCTGGTTGAACCTTTCCTGTAGATCAGTCTGACCTCAAACTCACAAGATCCTCCTGCTTTTGCCTCTCAAGTCCTGGGATTAAAGGTATGCTCAACCACACCCAGCCTCAACACATTTTTATAATTATTTTTTATTATTGTATATTAATTATGTAGAATGGTGGAGTTCATTAGCTTATTTATTTACGTTTGGTTTTCTGAGACAGGGTTTCTTTGTGTAACCCTGGCTGTCCTGGAACTCACGCTATAGAGTAAGCTGGCCTCATAGAGATCTACCTGCCTGTGCACCACTACAGCCCAGTTTTCATTTATTATTTTTATTGTGAATTAAAAGAACCACATATAGGCCCCAAAGGGTATAGGAACTTCACAGGAAGAGCACCAGATTCAACTAAATTGGACCCTTGGGGAGGTCTCAGAATCTGAACCACCAATCAAAGAACATACACGGGCTGGACCTAGGCCTTAGGCTCATATGTACCAGATTTGTGGCTTGGTCTTCGTGTGGGTCCTGAACAACTGGAATGGGGGCTATTTCAAAAGCTGTTGCCTGTATGTGAGTTATGTTCTACTAGCCGGGCTGCCTTGTCTGGCCTCAGTGGGAGAGGAAGTGACTAGCCTCACAGAGACTTGAAGTGCCAGAGTGGAGAGTATCCAGAGCCACCCCCCCCCACCCCCCCCGCTCAGAGGAGAAGGGGAGGGGAAGAAAGAAAGGATTGTGGGAAGGGGGGCAGTGAGCAAGATGTAAAGTGAATAAGTAGAAAAAAAATTAAATTTCAAAAAAGAAGCACACATAACTACATATATGTTGGATACTTATAATCCTAGCACTTCAGAGATTGGAGAATAGTAAGTTCGAAGATAGCTTGTCCTACACCAGGAGACCCTGTCTCAAAACACCAAAGGCTGGGGATGTAGCTCAATGGTAGGGCACGTGCATATCATACACAATTCCCTGAGTTTGATTGTCAGCACAGAAAGAAATACATCAAGTTTACTCCATGGACCATCTTTAAGTTTACAGTGGAGAAATACCTTCATGTAGTTGTGAGACAGACCTGAAGAGACGGTGGTATGTGGCACGAATCTTTGCACCCATTAAACAACCGACTCGCTCTCCATTTCCCTCACCCCTGAAGCTGCCACTCTATTGCTTGCCTCTGTGAGTCTGACTACTTCAAATATACTGGCCTTCTTGTGGTTGGCCTGTTTACTTAATATTACGTCTTTAAGGTTTAGTCATCTTGTGTTATATGACAAGAGTTCCTTGCCATGTGATATGACAGTCACAAATAATCTGTCTCTTTGTTTATCTATCATCTATCTATCCATCCATGTGTATGTGTATATATGTATATATACATATATATCTCAAATTTGCATGTTGTATAATTGCTCACACACATACACACATACAAACACACATGATTTATCTTCTCATCTGCTGATGGACATCTGGGCTGCTTCCCTTGCTTTCTAATTTTGGGTAGTTGGGATAGTGGATACTATTTCTGTCAACATGGGTCTGCAAATGGCTCTTCATAACCCTGATAACACTTCATGTGGACATTTTCACAAAGTAGAATTTCTGTGTCATATAATATTTTTATTTTCAACATCTTTTGAAAACATCTATGTTATTTTCCATAGAGGTTGCACTTCCAGTGCTTTTGAGAAGGATCTGGAAGCTACTGATTAGAAAGCTAAATACGGGTTGGTGGGGTTCTAAGATGGCCACAGAGCCACTGTTTTCTACCTGAGGAAAAGATCTGGAGTGGGCTGTTACCTCTTGGACTAAATGAAAGTGATGTTGGGTCAAATTCTGAAGATGAAATCATACTAGAGATCCAAGAACCTTCAGACCTTAATTTACAGGAAGACGGAGAGATTGGCAGCAGTACGGAGCCAGCAGTGTGAGCATCAGACTTCCCGTCAGGCAAGCCAGACACGGAAACAGAGGCTGATGCAGATGCATATGAGAAATGTCCTTCTGGGATTCCCCTAAACACGTGGAGTAAATTTCAAGAATTTCATAAAACAATTCTGAACAGAAATATTCAACACCAAGATTCAGACATAAAAAAAAGGAAAACGTTCCCCCCAAAAAAGGCAAACTGAAGAATGAAAAGGAATCTCAAAGTCAGCAGTCCTCAAGTGAGACCCAGTGCAAAGCGCTTACTCAGTATTCCGGAGCCAGTGATAGATTTGAACCTCTGTTAAACAGAAAAAGTTGAGAAGTCAGGCCTTGACAGGAGGACCGACCAGGCTGTGGAGGGTGGGACGCTGAGAGAAGGACCAACCAGGCTGTGGAGGGTGGGACGCTGAGAAGGCCAAGGAGCTCAGCAACCAGCGAGCTGCTCGAGAGCTCGGTGCAAAAATTGCCAAAGCAATTGCTTGCCACGAGTTTGTTAAAGCCAAAAAGAAGGCTGAAAATTCACAGGCTGCTCGAAAGAAGCAACTGGCATGGGAGTTTGAAGCAAAGAAGAGATGGGAAACCAAAAGCAACATGGGATATATGTGACCTTGCAGAGTTCTTCAAGACATTGGTTTATAGGCTGTCATGCTTCATTTGCTGAAAAGATTTTCCTGTTTAGGTTAAATGTGTCAGGAAATTGATAAAGGTAGAAAAAGATAAGCATAAAACTTCAGAGCTGGTTATAAACCGTTTTCAGTCTTTTTTCTCATAAGTTTTTGAAGGAAAAGAACATTTTTATATTCATGTAAGACATTTTAAGCATATGAAAGAAAAAAGAGTAGGATTTTATTTATTTGTTTGTATAAGCGTACAGTTGAAAATCAATTTTGTGTTTGATCTGTTTGGTCTAGCACAGCCTGTGAGGTCCTTGGACTTCCTTATCTGTTCTTAGCATGACTGCACTTTTCGTAGGATTGTGTTTTTAAGATTGGTTTTGCTTATAATGGATTAGTCATAAATAGAAAGTTTTTCAATTGTTACTGACTTTACAAATGACTTTAATTGCTTTAAAAATAATTGTTGATTCTTTTTGGAGGTAAAATTAATATTACTTAGTCACATAGTAAAGGTGGTTGATTAAAAAAAAGAAAGAAAGCTAAATACAATCGAATGAAAAAAAACCTAACTTGGTTCTGCAATAACCAAGACATATCACTGAAATCAGATCCATGAGCCCCCTGCATTTTCTGAGGGTTTTCCAATGACAAGCAGGATTTAGCATTAATATGAACCTTCTCTCAACTCAGGTAGGTTTCAGTCCTATCCCAGGCTAGCCTTGAACTCCTTATGTAGCCGAGGATGATTTCCTGTCTCCACCTCCTGAATCCTGGGATTACAAGTAAACACCATCATGCCTGGAGTCCTATTGCTTCTTGTGTGCTCTACTGAACATATTGATACCCCACAGATAAAATAATTTTGACCAAAACTCCAGAGAGTGTACGCCATTGGCTCACAGACTGCGCACCACATCCTAGGGCCCTTCACACCCTTCCTTTCTGTTTCCTTTGTGTCATCCTTTGAATGGGAACAATTGCAAGTTGATCTACTCCCCCTAGCGGTGAGGAAGAGGTCATAGTGCTTTACAGAGGTCTTGGCTGGGACTCTTGAGATGTTTAGGAACTCTCAGCAGAGGGGACAATGACTCCATGCCCTGTGTCTCTCCATCATGAAGGAATATAGGAGGCAGATAAGAGAAAACATAAATTTAAAAGAGGGCCATATTAAATAAGTCATATAACATAACGTCCTTATTCTTGGAATAAGAATATTTAGTTTAGCCAGGCAGTGGTGGTGCACGCCTTTAATCCCAGCACTTGGGAGGCAGAGGCAGGCAGATTTCTGAGTTCGAGGCCAGCCTGGTCTACAGAGTGAGTTCCAGGACAGCCAGGGCTACACAGAGAAACCCTGTCTGGAAAAACCCAAAAAAAAAAAAAATTTAGTTTATTTGGGGCATAGCAGGATCTTGCTATGCAGCTCTGGTTGGTCTCAAACAGATAACAATCCTTTGGCCTCAACCTCTTAAATACTAGGATCACAGAAATGTACCATCATGCACAGCTCCAAAATTTATTTACAACCCAGAGTCAATACTTGTAGGATTTTAGACATGGGGAGAACAGCAACGCACGTGAACGCCTGACATATTCACCAGAGGGGAAGCATGGCGCTCTGCCCTCTTGCTTCCGCTTTTATACTGCAGTAAGGATCCTTCTGTCTCATTCCACAGTCTCCTTAGTCCTGTACTCTCCACAGAACACAACTCTGTTAAAAAAAAAAAAGACCTACCCAATGGGACTTTCCCCTTCATTTTTTCTACAGCTCTTTACCCATGTTGTACACATACAAACACACACACACACACACACACACACACACACACACACGCACGCACGCACGCACGCACGCATGCACAGTTGCACAGAGCTATGTTTTTGTTTGAGACAGGGTCTCTGTAGGTAGCTCAGGCTGACCATCTTGATCCTCTTGCTTCAGCCTCCTGAGTACTGGGAAAGGTGTGAGCCACCATACCTGCTACCAACATGGTTTTGAATGCTCTCACTTTCCTCCTGCACACTTTGATTTGGGAGAACAAAGGCCTCTAAAGCAACCGCTAGATTAGAGAATGACGTTAGGAAAGCTGAGACTCCCTGTTTCATCTAAGTCTTCTGATTATGCAGCCGAAAGCGAACCCAACACTTTAACAGCAGCCTTATATCTTGAATGCCTATCACGACATTGGCAATAAACGGCCATTTTTTCTACCGTTTAGTTAAGCACCCTTGAATGGGGATGTCACTGCAAAGACTTGTCCTGAATCTTCCTCTCTCCCTCGCCTTCATCTGATAACAAATGGTGAGCATTCT